TGAATGTTTTACCAAATTTGAAGAACTTCCGTCAAGACGTTATTGAGATATCATGTCCATGAGAATGGGATGGCATATTGTTTTCAGGTTGTATGTACAGACGGAAAACCCGAAAACAATATGCCTCCTGCTCTGACTGTCACCGGTGCAGAGGCAAAAAAAACTGTATATGTGGGCAGTGGAGTTCTGGGACCAGGCTACTGTTTTGTACATGTATACTGTAGATTTTCAAGAGAAAAAAAACAGATTCTACATCAGCTTTGCTGTGGACAAAAGGACTTGGTCACTTTTTCAAGGCTGTTCCAGCAACCAGCCTTTTATGTATGATTTTGCTCTGCTGTCTTCTCAGCAGTCTTTTAGTAATTATAATAGACCAACCCCCAACCTATCTCCCCTCTACACACACATACACACACATACATGCACACGCACGCACACACACACACACACCCCTCCTCCCAAAAATAATGAAATGTCTTTCCTCTGGAGGTAGCTGAAATAATGGGCAGAGAGCAGGAGAGGGGGAGACCATAAATGATAATGAACCACCTCATTCTCCCTTTTTAATTCCTTCTGATTCCCTACCCCAAACTCCCCCCATCACCTCCCCCAACCCCCTCCTCCCATTNCCCCCTCACGTCTCCTCACCCGATTCTACATTGTCTGCAGCATCCCCCCTTAAACACTTCCCCACACCCCCCACACCCCCCTGCCAGGAAGCATCCTGGGTAATTTCCTCCTCTTATTGAATTGGTACAGGGGGCGGATGGAGGGAAAGATAAAGGATGGGCAGATGAACAGAGGCTTGGGATGAGTGCTAATGGAGCCGGTGTAGGATTCACACATATGCTGTACATCCTCCCCTTTTCTTCTTCTGTCGTCTTTGGCTCATTTTCTCTCTTGGGTAAAAGTAGAGATGACCCTCTCTCTCCTTCTCTCCCATGTTCTGTTATGCTCGCTCGCTCTCTCTCCCTGATAGAAACAACCCAGACAAAGGACTCCAACCTTCTTTTTTTCCTTTTTCACAGAATGCTATTCATCTATCCTGCACACTCACACACACACACACACACACACACACACACACACACACACACACACACTATACTGTCTGCTAAAACTTCATCTTCCAGCTACAAGACTGAAAAGTCAGTCTGGTCTGATAAATATAAATCACATATGAGTGTTTGGGTGTGGGTGGAGGTGCAGATTTAAAGGTGCTGGGGTGGAGAGGGTGGATTGGTGGATGTGGATAGGTTTTCAAAAGTTGACCTCCAAAAGAAATCTGCAGCAACAGGATATCATTACAGCACTTTTTAGTGGAGCTAGACTGATGTATTGGCTGATAAGTCACAGGAACTAATAGCACAGAGAGGCCAGTGTTTGTTGTCATTTAGAAACACTGTCTCCATGACATAGTTTTCCTATCAGACAGCAGTGACAAGTTTATTTTTCAACTTTGAAATGTCCTGCTTAGTATTAGCTGATTAAAACACTCTTATATCAGTATAGATACTTTTTAAAATCATTCCTGCTCTTCTCTGCTTTTATCCTGTCTCGTGTTTTATTTCACAAACAACATCTTATTTGTGTTACATTCTAATTACAGATTTTATAATTATCATTTAAATATTATCAGCTATTTACATTACATGCTTCTTGTATTTTCATTTGTTTTTGTGCTTCATTTTGTCTTTATTTATATGGTTATTGTGTTACTTATTGTGTACTATGAGAAACTGGGGCCCATTGTCTTGTTCAAGGACACTACAATATGTAGACTGCTAACCCTGCACAAGTGCACTATGGGTAAATTTCTTTCATGACAGTGTCAGATCAAATTAACTTTTATTGACCTGTAACTGAAAAACCTGCAGTCTTATTTTATTTATTTGCATGATGGCTTCAGCTTACAATTATTTTATTATCAATTAATCTGCCAATTATTTTCTTGAATGATCGATATATTGTTAGGTCTATAAAATGTGAGAAAAATGTCCATTATAATTTCCCACAGCCCGAGGTGATGTCTTCAAATCACTTGTTTTGCCATACCAAGAGGCCAAAGTTATTAATTTTACTGCAATAGAAGAAAAGGAAAACCAGCAGATATTAACATATGGAGGCTGAAGCAGGATATTTCTGCATTAAAAAAGATACTTAAATGATTAAGCAAATAGCTGCAGATTCATTTTCTATTGATTGACTAAAAAAGTAATCAACTAATTGTTTCAACTCTCCTGACATTTTTATGCTTCTGTTTTAAAGCTTCTCCTTGACTGATGTGAATCCTCTTAGGCAACAGTAACGACACACCGTGAACAACGACCCAAGGTGAAAGATGCTGAATATTGGCACATGGTCTCGGTTATTGGAAGCTTCGTATTGATCAAGATCTCACATCACTCAAGCCCTAACTGCTATAGGCACCAATATATCTTATTTATCATTCACAGGCTGCTTCTGAAGTACCACCGCAGATCAACAGTGGAGAAGTTCTGTTGATGTTACAACATTTCACAGTGACTTTAGATAATTGGATCACAGAACCTCAGCTCCTTCACCATTATACCACAAACAGCAATTAGCAGGAGTTAAAGGGTCAAACTTACTGAGAGCGCAGTGAGAGACTTTTTGAGAGAAACATTCAAATTGCTATTTTAACATAAACAATAACGATAAACAACAGTGAGAAAAACATGCAAAGAAAAAATATGTTGGTTATGTACTGTCCTGGATTCGAACATGAGGATGTAATGAGAATCATGTCAGAATGTCAGCATGAACTAATTAGAACGGCTCTGACAAGGACGCACCAAACAGACTGGTACAACTGCTAGAAAATAACAGGAGTCACAGAGGTTGTTGCAGGTGTGACTGTGCCTGTGCCTGTGTGTGTGTGTGTGTGTGTGTGTGTGTGTGTGTGTGTGTGTGTGTGTGCAAGAAAGAGGGGGAAAGAGGGAAGTGAGGGAGGTGGGAGGGAAAGTATTGAACTGTATGTGTATTTTTCAGATATGCCGCCTGTGTGTGTGCATTTGTGAGTGTGTGTGTGTGTGTGTGTGTGTGTGTGTCTAGATAACGGGTGGGGGAACAGAGGGTTGAGCTTGTTCCAATTAAGCCAGGCCTCAGAGCATCGAGTTAATTAGCTGAGGAGAGAGAGAGAGAGAGACACTGAAGTGCCAATTTGCCCTGGAATGTCAATATATCTGCCTGTCTGTCTGTCTGTCCAACACACACACACACACACACACACACACACACACACACACACACACACACACACACACACACACACACACACACACACAGGGAATATGAGTGACAGCAAGTGTGTGGTACTGATAGTCACAGAGGTACAGAGTGGTGGTGCTGTGGGAACAATATGGAATATACCAATCACCACCCCACACGCACACGCACACACACACTCTGCTAAAGCACCTAGCTGAGCCTGTGCAGCACTGGTCCACAGAGGAAGAAGAAGCAGCTGATCTTCCTCACCACCTCCAAACTCTCAGGCCTGCAGGAGGCTGGGATGGGCAATAACGAATGGGGCGACTAACAATTACCCCAACACCCCAAAGACATTCACTTTGTATTGACATAAAACAGAAAAACTGGAACTCTTCATATTAGAGCAGCAACAAGCTCATGCATTTTTGGTTTTTGGGGGGTGGGGGTGGGGGTGGGGGGGGGGGGGATGGGGGTGGTGGGGGGGGGGGGGGGGGCGGATGGGTGAACAAAAGATGAGATTTTGCCACAGGAGACAGACAACATTGGTTTCTTTTAGCACGGGCCATGAATGTTCCATCACCGTACCTAGTGATTATTATTATCACCATGACGACAAAGCTCTAGCAAACTTAGTACCTTTTTTAACCCAAACAACAACCTCTCTCTAAACCTAACCACACCTTAACCACGGCATCGTCACATCATGAAACTGATTTATTTTTCCAGCAGAGACACAAACAAAACCAGCTGTGCCAGGTCAGAAAAAACACTCACACACTGTGTGTGTCGCACTGTTAAAAATGACAAATGTGATGTTTAATTTGGAGGACTTGTTGATATGAGGATGTACCTTGATTTGATATTTCCTTCCCTTCTGTACTTGTCATATATCACATTATATTAGTGTTGAATCAATTAGTTATTTAATCAGTTATTTCAGCAAAAAGACAGTGAATCAGCAACAATTTTGATAAACAAGTCCAGTTATTTATCAAGAAAAATAACAAATATTCACAGCTCATCTTTTCTATTTTTGCCAGTTTTATTGAATAACATTGAATATTTCTGAGTTCTGAACTGTTGTTCAACAAGATACATGAATATATGAAGGCATCCGCTTAGGCACTGGGAACTTCACTATCTCCCAACATTAAGTGGACTATTCATTAATCTAACTGGAAGTTAACTGATAATGAATTACATTTACTGTGCTATAAGACACTGTCGCAAACCAAAAATGAAAACATGTTTTGTTTTTGTGCAGATGGTCATACTTGTCATTTGTTCACATCTTTGAGAGCTAGCTTAAATGAGTTTAGAGTTATATATACATTATGTGCAGAGAATATAAAAATAACACTGTGGCTCAGTCTTATTAAGGAGAAATGGTTTTGGTCCACTGACCTCCGCAAGCGTCAGACGGAAACACTGATATTTCTTGTCATTACATTATTTTAATTGCAAGTACGAGACGGTGCGTGGGAGTTTTCTTCCTACTGAGGCATTAGTGGGCCTCATGGTCTCCTCCTACACACCTGTCACACACAGCTCTCCAGTGCACAAAAGAACCTGCTGTTCTAAAGTGTCAACATTTACTTTATGATCCACTCTCAGGGTGCAGAGAAACACACAAGGTGAACGTTCGGTCTGATAGCACAGACAAAAACATGAAATCAGACAAAAAATAATGCGTGTGCAGCCTCACACCGAAGCTCAGATCAGATACAGTGTCCCTATTGTTTAACATGTGGCTCTGTTGCAGTCACTTCACGTACCTTGTTGTTGCTCATGCACTGCAGCTTCATCTGTTTCATGTAGGTGGTGGTGAGAGGCATGTTGTAGTCTATCACCTCCGACACCAGAGAGCTCGGTCTGTCGTTCTCTGGAGAGGAAGAGGAGATTTTTAGGTGCAAATAGTAAATGAGAATCCACATTGTCATTCCACTGTGAGCTTTCTTCTCACACAGGGGTTTGTGATGTCTAGACACATCTGTCCTTTCTCTACCTGTATCTGTTTTTGCTTTAGTCCCATTACAGTGGAAAAATTAGGCATTTCTCTTGCGTGTTTCTTCATCGTCACTGAGACTTTATGGGGTGGAAGAATATTTTGAAATTACAAACAGGGATACACAAAACATATTTGCTGTTTTTACATATTTGCTGTTCCGTCTGTTCTGATTTTTATTGAGGTAAAAAAAAAGACTTTTTCAAAGACTTTCAGGCTTCTTTAACTGAAGAAGCCTTTCAGAAGAGAGGTGAAACGTCTGCAAGAAGATCAAACAAGTCCAGTTTTCTTCGTACAGAACTGAGAGACACCACAGCCCCGAACAACTGAGAGTCTTCTCAGCCACATCCTCCTTCGTTAGCTGCAGCACAAATAGCAGCCTTCAGCCATCACAGAGGTCAGCACAGTTCATGTCAAAGTGCAGGACCATCACAAAACACCACGTACACAATAATGAAAGAGACGCACACGTAAGTTCGTTTTCTGCAAATTCAGTATGGATCAGTTGCCGTGGATTACCTTTCAACTGTTTTTTTAAAATGAGGATGAAAACAGTGTCAACAAAATCTGCTTCAACAACACAACAAATTACCACCTTAAAAACAACAGCAACACCTTGCTTAACACCTTGAATCAACAGCTTCAACACAAAAACAAACATGCTGACTGGTTTGAGTGGCAGTGCATCTGTCTCTAGTCCTCACCCTCGTCTGAGTTTCAGTTTTTCAAAATGTCCCTTTCTGACTTAGACATTTTTAGCTTTCTGAATATCCCTCCTTTGGGGCGCCCTGGTGGCTCAACTGGTACCATGAAGGCTTAGTCCCACAGTGGCCCATGTTTGAATCCAACCTGTGGCCCTTTGCTGCACGTCCTCCTCTCTCTCTCTCTTTCTCTCCCTGACTTTCCTGTCTCATTTTCACTGTGGCTGTCTAAATAAAGGCAAAAACCTCTGAAAAAAAAAAACAAAAAAAAAACTATAAAACCCCTCTTTAATCTCCCACTTCACCTCACAGCTTCTGTGTTCATGCAATCTGTTATCATGTTGTGTCTGAAAGCCAACACTAGAGGACCCTGTAGAGCTGAGGGTGGAACGACACAGACAGAGAGGCAGCGAGAGGAGGTGCTGACTTGAACCATAAACTAAAGGTCTCTGTCATTTCCACTACAAAAGCTTTTCTTTATAAAGAAATGAAACAACAAATACAAACAGGTTAAAAACTACTTGATCTCTCTCTAAACCTCCACCACTTCTCCTCTACCTCTCCTTTCTCTCTTTTATCTTCTGACCTCATAAAGGACACGTCTAACATAGCATCTACACAACGGACATGAATACAGGTCACAAAATCAATACGGCTTAGCAGAATAGACAGACCCGTCATCATTGATTGGTGATTGATAGTCTTGTACAAGGACATGAGAAAGTAACAGTGTGTGAGAGTGTGAGAGAGTGTGTGTGTGTGTGTGTGTGTGTGTGTGTGTGTGTGTATGCTCCAGAGAGCAACAGACGGTGATAAGTGACTGTGTGACACAAAGCTGCCACGTGGTTTTCAACATGAGGCTCTGGACCCCTGTTCGGTCCGGGCAATGATCATCTTGGATGAGAACTTTTCTTCATGTGTAAATTTGTTACTGAACGAAGTAATCACATTACTGATGCCTTACAACAGTATCAGACATGGGGGGGGGGGCGCGAACTGACGAACTGATGAACCAGAAATGAGCATGAACGGCAGGTTTTTGGGAAACTTCAGCAGAATACAGAAAAGACAAATCAAACATGACGTAAACATGAACAAAGTACCTCTTCGATATCAACTAGATTTATTTGTACAGCCCATTGTCACATGCAGTGTCTCATTGGGCATCAAAGCATCAAAACTAGCTCCTGAATTATGCCGTCTGGTGTCTGGTTCTTTGGGTTGTTTTTATAGTGAATATAACCCCAATATTCACTTGATGTTTAAGGACAAACCTGACGAAGACTGTGACCAAAATGTAGCCGTGGATAAACGGAGCATTGACAGATTGACAAAGTGTTTGTCCTCTTTCTTTTGCATCACACACTTTCAATTTTTTTCAATTCAAGATCAATTTTATTGACAAAGCCAAAATCATTAATTTGCCTCAACGGCTATCGTTAGATTCTCTTCCCATAAGGAAAAATTTCTGGATGGGCTGATATGCAGTTTAATTTTAGCTGCAATTTGTTATAAAAAGGATGATCAGTTATTTTTCTACATAGTAAAAAGGAAGCTCCCCGTTCTCTCTCTCTCTCTCTCTCACTCACTCACTCACTCACTCACTCTCACACACACACACACACACACACACACACACACACACACACACACACACACACACACATACAGTGAGCCTGCTGCCTGTGTCAATTAAACATGGCCCTGGTCCACGCTGATTAATTGCATTTAATAATTCACAGCTGAACTTTAGTGGGAGTCACTTCAGCATAGCGATAAAGGGGGCTGGGGTCGTGTGTGTGTGTGTGTGTGTGTGTGTGTGTGTGTGTGTCATGGAGAGGCCGATCCCCCACAGGGTAGGAAGGCAATTAGTTGCTCTCTCTCTGAGTGGCATACAGTCATGGCACAAGACACACACACACACACGCACACACACACACACACAGTGAACTGAAGTAGTATCATGGATGTTGTCATTACAATCCATACGTGTGTGCGTTTGATTGTTTGCTCAGCTTATTACATCTTCTTATTAAATAATTTCTATTATGTCCAACATCAACTTCATGTTTACGTTTTTCATTTAATAATTGTGATTTTAATCAGAGACATTGTACAGTTTGTCCGAGCAAACGGGTTCATGGTGTTAAAATTCACCAACGACGAGACAAAGAATTGAAAAGTTCTTCCACGAGACTCCTGAAAAATCTGCAGCTTCTATATTATTTCTATATGTAAAGTCAGCTTGATGTGAAATTCTTTCCTTTGTCCTCTTCTGTGTATACTCTCATTTCAAATTTTTTCTTCTTCAACATCTCTCTCTTTTTCTACAGTGTATCTCAGATTTCTCCCCCAGCCCCCCAGCAGCACTGATCCCTTCTCCCTCTCTGCCCCGACTCTGTGGAAAATGAGCTTGTTTCCTGAGCCATTTTCTTTGTTAAAAGCCATTAATTAGGCTAATTGAGGAGAGAGACAGGACACTCCAATGACTCCCCTGTTTAATGAGCGACAAGGAGAATTAACGTGGGGTGGGGGGTGGGGGCAGGAATGGACGTAGGGTATAGAGATGGGTAGAGGAGGCGATAGAGGAGGGGAAGGGAGGATGGAGGAGGGGAAGGTGAGGGATACAGGGACGGGACAGGAGGCCTGGAGCAGTGAGGAAGGGGGAGGCTGGGAGGGAAAATAAGAGGGAGAAGAGCTGGAAGCGAGATATGGGGACACGTGGGTGGGATGCCTGGAGGGAAGGAAAAGGGAGAGGAGAACACAGAGAGATGGGTGAGTGGGGGGGGGCAGCAGGAGGAGGAATCGGGGAGGGATGAGAGAGGGATGGGAGTGTGGAAGAGGGGGAAAAGATAGGGAGTGGGGCCTTCAGGGGGCCTGTAGTTATAGAAAATATATAAGGGGGGTGGCAGGGTTGGCAGAGGAGGAGACTGGGGAAGAATGGAAACATCTTGTGTTTCATGAGGCAGCTGGAGATGTCAGTCCCACTGAAACCTGTACATTTACATTTACCTCTGTACATTTTCATGACATTTCACATTTGTACATATAAGAGAACTTGCTTTTGAAGAAACCTGAGGAAATCAGTTGACCGAGTGTAACGAGGTTAGTGTCTGGAAGCTTGGAAGTGTTGTCTTAAAACAACACTCAGATGCAGATGTACGCTGAAACAGTTTTTTTTCCTCTTCTCTGCAAAAGCTCTCAAGAAAAACCCTTCCAAAACCCCACGCTCATCGCTCTGTGCAGAAATGCATTCAGAGGTTCAGCTGAAGCTGCTGTGATTTAAGGCTTCAGCACTCAGGGTCACACAAATCAAGTGTGTATCTTCCCATTGTGTTTCCTTGTTGAGCTGTGGCAGAGGGATTGTGACACAAAGGGGGGATTTTGTACCAAAATGACTGTCACTTGGATGGATCAGACTTGTTGTGGCTTTCTATACAGAATAAGGATTATGTGGACTTTGTCTTTTGGTGGAGACACATTAGGAAGTGACCTTTCCACAGCCAGTAAGGAAAAGACAACGCTGGTCAGGTGACGCGCAAGAACACAACTAAAACCTTTTGAGGTTTTGGGATCATAAACATAGACTTGTCTTTCCCGCCGGTTTTAAAGTTACAGCTCACAGGCAGCTCTGCCACTATTAAAACAATAACAAAAAAGCAAATTCTCCAGCTTTTGAGTGAGTTCCTTCTCCTGTGGCTAGCAAAGCCACATAGTGGTGAGAAAAAAAACATCTAAAGCTTGTGACCATTAGTTTTAATTTGAATTGTCTCCTTGTTCAGATCCAGTGGAAGCTTCACCGACGCTGGTTCGCTCAGCCACAGGCTGCTCATCAAGATGACTGACAGGTGTGGTGGGAGGAATACGACCAACCAAGGGCAAGGAGGGCGGGTTTACGATACACCTTTTATCTCCTGCTTATTTCAGCTTTAAAATCAGATGCAGAACATGTTTAAAATCACAGCTGGTTGACAATAATGTGCATTTCTCTGTGAATAAGACTGACCATGGGTCCAAAAAAAAGAAACCACAAACAAAAGATACTGGAGAAATACTGTAAATACTGTAGTCTGTCAGCACGGGGGGGGGGGGCTAACGTGAGAGAGAAAGAGGGAAAAGCGAGAGGAAGGATGAAAGAAGAGAAGAGGGACTCTAATTGAAAGACATGGTGCAGAACGATGGTGAGTAAGAAAGAGTAATGACAAAGAGAAGGAGCTGAGAGCAGAGGAAGCGTGAGGGACAGCGAGGAGTCCTTTGAACCTTTGCGTTTTAACAGAGATGCTGAGAAAGAAAAACAGGAGAGAGACAGGAATAAGATTCTTCTTTGCCTGCACACACACGATACACTTCCTGTCAATTCTGGTGTTTTTCTGCTGTTAAAACTTATCATTAATCTTCTCTCTTCTGATGATGTATGCTCTCACTGTGTTTTCTTACGTTAATGGAGCTTGATTTGACTCATTAGTGAAACAGTGTGGCATTAGACAGAATTAAAAGCTAAACTGAGCCTGAACCATAACAACAAAACAAGCATATATACAGTTATAGACCAGGTCTGCGGTGATGGACCAAAATAAACAAAATCACAGTTATCATTTTTAAAAACGCTTGTTTTCCTCAAATGAAACGCTCCAATAATCTGTCAGTGAGCTGAGACACTTTCACATTCCCATAGAGGTTTTATCTGCTCTTAAACAACTCTACTGTCACAGGCCTCTGATGGAGAAATGTTCTATATAATTCATATAATTCATACTTGTATATATATATATATATAGATATGTATTTAGCCACATATCACTGCTGTTTCTTCCCACGTGCATACACATCCACACTAACGAAACAACAGACAGCCCTGCTCCTTCTCTAACAAACAGATCCCTTATCAACGCAACAACTACAGAACCATGGTCACATCCCAACCCGTTTTCCCTTTTTAATGTACTTATGGATTTACTGTCTTGCTCTTGCTTCTGTATGTATGTGTGCATGTACTTGCTGCATGTTTTGTCCCATTGTTACAACCTTGTAAAGCCCCCACTGTGCTACAGTCTGTCTCATCTGACCTGTTGTGTCTAGTTTCAATAATTAAAAAATAAATGAATAAATAATCTGCAGGCTCTATAGCCAGCAAAGATGAGGAGCAGGCTGCAGAGGTGGAGTCATCCTTCATTCACTCACTCTGTAGTTGATCATATACAGGATTTTTCAGCTCACCAAGTTAAATCCAAGCTTTCTAACAGCACGTTATTTAATCCCTGTTTCACCATCACACCAGCCCCAGGATGACAGTGTAATGAGAAACCAGTAGGGACTATAATTATATTGTATCCTATCACATTTTTAGAACTTCCCAGTAAATGACAATAATTCCTAATAATACAATTAATTGAATTAATGCAAAATGGATAAGCAACAGAATGAATGGATGGATTAGCCAATTAAAATCATTAATTACCTATAAAGCTGTTACGATTCGTCCATCAAAAGAAAATCTGCGTGCAATTGATGAATCGTTTCCATATTTTTTCCAAGAGAAAATGTAAAAAATTTTGCTGGTTTTTGCTACACAATGTAAACTTTTTCTGCTTGTTTTTTTATTTTTGTTGATCAGTTTTGGACAGACAAAACTGGAAAAAAACAGCAGGCAAGAGAAAATATTTAAGACTGAAATAAATCAAATTTAACACTCAGAATTCACTGAGACACACAGATTAGATGGTGGAGTTGATGCAGTTTCACTGTATAGTGACTGGAAGTGATTTTGGACACAGCTGTTGCCACATGTTTGTGCCAGAAAGAGGAAACTGCAGCAGGATCCCTAGTTGAATGTTCCCACTGAAACTTCGATGTTCCCCACTTGTGCAGCATAAAAAAATTTAAAAAATATTTTAAAAAAACAGTGCTGAGGCTCAAACTGAGATGAGAGGACTCATTGACTCGGACATTTACTGTAGCGTTGTGTTTGTACCTTTGTAGTCCTGTCCTGTGGTGCTGATGTGCATCCTCTTCTGACACTCTCCACAGCTCATCAGGAAATGAGTCACCGCCTCTCTGGGCAGGAAGGCGTACGTCTCTGCTATCTGAGAGAGAGAGACACCGAGAGACAGACAGACAGAGAGAGAGAGAGAGAGAGAGAGAGAGAGAGAGAGAAAGAGAAAGAGAGAGAGAGAGAGAGAGAGAGAGTTCAATAATCTAACTTTTTTGTATTTTATTCTAGGCCCTCTGAGTTGTATGGAGGTATCTGGGCACACGTCATCATTTATTATCACTTTTCTGGTTTCCACAAACAATCATAGAAATGTGGACGTAATAAGGAAACAGTTTGATTTAGAGACAGCAATTCACAGTCAAATCTCCAATATAAAGTGATGTGATGCACATGTGCATCACATCACACAGCTTGTTAACACTGGTGATTAAAATTACATTCAATGGGAACAGAATTTAATTTAAACAACTCTATATTGTGTGAGTGAGAGTGGGCACAGTAAAAGTGAGAGTGAGTGAGAGGGAGAGAGGGAGGTGTGTAAGAGTTGTGTGTTTTATCTGCAGTGTAATTTTATCTGTCACAGCACAATAAACAAAAACAACTTCAGTCTGAGGCGCTGACTCTAAAATCAAGTGTTGACAATTGATTATTAAACCACTAAAACATTTTCTGCTCTGTTTGTGCTCTTTATCTTTCGAGTCATGTTGTCTACATTTCACCAAATAACAAAATTGGCCCGGAATGGCAAGACAGGGCCGTTATTACCTTTTCCAAAGTGTCTCAAAGAAAAACTGCTCTCGGTGATGCTGAGGATATAAAGTCTATAAATCCGTGGGTGTGTGTTTGAATGTGCGTGTGTGCATAAATAAAACATTTATTCAGGAAGAGAGGCACAAAGACACAAAAGAAAAGAGGAGGAAGGGTGGAAGATAGCCAGCGTGGGTGGATGGGGGTGGCTGTGCAGCCTGTGTGTGTGTGTGTGTGTGTGTGTGTGTGTGTGTGTGTGTGTGTGTGAAAGAGAGAGTGAGTGTGTAGGAAGGAGGGGGTAAAGCAAAGGCAAATGTCACTCACAGCCTTTGGTGTCCTGAAGACCTGAAGCTATGTGGCATGGTAACCTAGCTGCCGGCTGTAACTATACTGTATGTACAGTAAATACAGAGGGACACAGAACAGTGTGACAGACCACATCGGTGATAAAGAATTAAGGATTTTTAAAAGAAGATAAAACAACAACAACAAAGAAGATAAAAACATACACAGATTGGTAAAAAGATGAAGAAGAATAAGGAAGAAATCTAGAAAAAGAAAAGTTAAAGATTACAAATATCACAGCTGTTTGCTAGTAATTGTCACAGCTTCGTCTTGTGTACTTAGAGATGAATGTGTGGAACCTGCACTTGCACTGTTTAACCAGAAGAGGGCAGTGTCAGCAGCTGAGACAGAGACAGCAGAGCAGAGCTGCACAACCTTCACTGAACTACAATATCTGAAAATGAAAAATCTATTGCTGCATTTTCCTCCAAAATTAATTGCAGGTCTCAGAAGGTTTAACAGTTTCTTTGAAACTGAATTATGTTAGAATGATGTTTATCGTGAGGTCAGCAGAGGTGGATGAGGAATTAATGTTGCCCCAACTAGGAGAGTGAGATGAGACAGAAGAAAAGAAAAAAAGGTGAAATGGAAAAGGAATTCCTGAATAACAGTGATGATGATGAAGATGAAGATGAAGATGAAGATGAAGATGAAGATGACAATGAAGGTGGCTCACTTTCACACACTCTGTGACCTATACAAAAGTTCATTTTCTGGATCCATTCACTTTCTCCCTCTGATATTACTATTCGAAGACAGGCATTCTCAGCTGCTGGGTTCTTACTCAAAAATTGGATATATGGGGGAAAAAATTAAGTAGGGTTGCAAATCATTATTAATCTACCAGTTATTTTCTCAATTAATCAACCAAGGTGTATTATTTGTATGTAAAAATTGTAATTGCAAAGAAAATTTTCACAAGTCAGGAGCTGAAATTCGGGAATGTTTCGTGTTTTCACTTGAAAAATGATTCCACGATTATAAAAATAATATCCAATTATTTTTTCTGTTGATCAGTTGATTAAATTTAATTAACTAACTAATCCGTTCAATCGTTGAAAAAAAAAGTGACATCTGCTAAACAAAATGTAAAGTAAAACTACCTGCAACCCAGCAGATAAAAACTGAGTCTAGCTTCTGATGTGAAACTGAAACTAGTGTGACGACGGCTGTTAGAATAAAGAGACACCGTTTCTTTTTTTCTGCCAGAGACACTGAAAGAGGAATGAAGCCCGAATGAAGAGGAAGAGAGAGAAAGAGAGAAAGGGAGAGGAGGGCAGTGAGCGTTGAGCAACAGACAACACAAGTTATGAAAGAGAGAATCCACTCTGTTGGACAAAGGTTGGAGCGTAGCATGAGACAGAGGAGCCAATGAGAAACAGAGTGGAAAGTGAAAGGAAGAGAAAGAACAAAGTGGGAGTCAAAAGATGTTCAAGCTGGACACATTAACATAAGAAGAATAAAAAAAAGGTTCACATACTTAGATTGAAAATGAAAGAAGAGAATGAGAGTGACTTTCCTGCTGCTGTAACCATGACACATAAATAAAAGGTAAGACAGCATCCTTACAGCTTTGTAGGTTTTCTTCTGGCCGGCGTGTTTTGGTGCTTTGCCTGGATCCGTGCTGATCTCCACATGCATGGCGTAGATGATGTCGAAGAAATCCTCCACCACTGCCACGCGCTTCAGGGACGAGTCGACCCCGGACACACTGTCCACACACTGGAGACGGAGCAGAGAGAAACTTTGAATGTCTGAGTATCTTTTCCTTTTTGGGGGCATTTTAACCTTTTATCAAACGTTCACAGTACAAGACAGACAGGAGAAAAGGGGACAATCGAACCAGGGACCAATTGTTCAGTCTCAGTGACAATAAGGATTGTTTTTATAATGATCTTTATGGTCTTTAATGAATCCTCCACAGGACAGGAACAAAACACCTAAATGTAAAACAGCCTACCCGAGATGTACAGGTATTCACTGAGCCCGGAAACATTCACATTCACATGTGTAAGACACCAGCAAAAAGTGTTAATGATGGTGTTACACCTAGAAACTCGTGAACACCTATTTAAACTGTGTTGTAGATACAAAATGAATAAAAGGTTCTGTATATTTAACCTCTGTCTGTTATACAGAGACTGATGTTGGTGATATTTTGGATTTGACCACTGACAACAGCTGTCATGTGTGTGAAGACTGATGACCAGAGGTAGAGGCTGATGAAAGGCTTGGGAGCTGTGCTTTGGTCAAATGTATGTACTTCTTAGTTCATCAAAAGACAATGAATAATCAAGGATTTTAATTTAAAAAAATCAAATATTAATATTTTCAGTTGTTTATTAAGTAAAAATTTGCTGGTTCCGGCTTTTGAAATATCAAGTTTTGCTGCTTTTCCCTTGGTCTCACAAAAACAAGATATGTGATGGTACCACCTTCTGTTCTTGTTATGGGTGCTTTTCACTGTCAATCAACAGACTCCTCAATAGTGAAAATAATCGTTAGCTGCAGGCCTCCCTCTGTCTAATCAGGTGCAGAAAGGGTTGTTGATGTCTGAGAGAAGGAGAGAGCTGCCATTGTACAGCCTATTTGTAATTATGTCTGATGACTCAAGCCAACATCTTTAATAATAATAATAATGATGACAATAATAAATTCAATTTTAAGCGCCTTTCACATAACCTGTGGACTTTACATACAGAACACAAGCAAAGCAACTACATTAATAAAAAGCTTGGTAAAACAGATGTTTTCTTAAGTCTAGACTTAAGATAAAAAATACAAAATTCATCAGAAGTGACAGAAAACCGGTGTAGAAACAACAACAGTGTCTCCTCGCATCAAGTGTCATCCCTTCACTGTGCATCAGTCAGACCATCGTGAGCAAAGTGAAAACTGTGAGAGGGCGTTGCAGAAGCTTCTTACTGCCATGAGTCAAAAATGAAAATGAGGTCTTTTGTTTTTCATCACTGACTCCTGTCTTTACTCTCTGACCACTATCAAGAAGGTTTCTGTTTAAGTTATGAGTCCTCTGCAAAAATCAGTTTACAGTTAACTGAATTCAAATAGTCGCTAGTGACCTTAATACAAAATACATTTATCTTGGTGTCTTAATTTTGGTGTCTTCTACATTTGAGATGAGGAGGTTAATGGATGCAGATCCCATTAAAACCACATGATTACAGATAGAGATCTGCTCCAGATCACATACCCTGATCATTAGTCTTGATGATTAGATTATTGTGCTGTATTTTGGGATCTTGAGTCTTTCTCACAGATTGAAGATGGACCATTTCTGGCTTCAGTGGGAATTTGAATATTCACTCTTATCTCTTCTGTATGCAGCTATTGCATACCAACTGTTCTCAGAAAAAAAACATTGACACCAAGGAAGACGAGTGTTCTCACACTGATGTTTGATGAGGGATTGTGAAAGTTATTTTGAGTTAACAGCAGCACTGGGAGGAGACTCATCTACATCTCAGAAACCTAAACAGAAGTCGTCAAAGTGCCCTGAAACCTCCAGTCAATAATACAACTGCATCACATTTACAGCTAGATCAATTCTGCAAGAAATCCTCCAACCCTGACCTCTGATACGACCCATAGGAGCATCTCCTGAAATGGCACATATGGAGGCAGATGTACCAAACCTTCATCGTCATGGTTACAACAGACACTGTTAAACTTATGTAAGGGTCACCATTTGGTTAAGGTTAGGCACAAAAACTACTTGGTTAGGAAACGATCATGGTTTGGATACTTCCTTAAGGTTAGCGGACTTTTGTTGTCATGGTTACACTAATAAAACATGCAGTTAAGGTTGTGGAATGGTCATGGGTAAAAGAAACAACGATGGCGATCAAACCTGCTCCTCAGAGGACCTATGAGGACAGTCTCTCTAATTCTTGTCATGATGAAAACTTGTAAAACTAGAACATGGATGCAGTGAAATTCATGTCGTGAACACCTTCCCTGTCTTTAGCTGTAGGTATTTAAAGCGTAATGAAATGTTTCAGTTTTGCAACATGCCAATTTCCTCTGCTGTTTAATGGTGTGGAGTAAATTCATGATGTATAATTATACATAAATGGCTGAGCAGCCCTGAATTAGACAAAGACTTCTACACCTACTGTAAGTTAATCAAGCTTCCCAGAGGACAGCTCACTCTCTCGCTCTCTATCTCACTCAAACACACATACACACACGCGCACACACACACACTTCTGGGAACACCAGTATGTCTTGGGAACCTCCCCTTTCCCCACAAGGCTGTAGGAGTGTGAGGTGTACCTCTGGAAAGCAAAGAAGGGACTGGAGAGGGTGGGAAAGTTTGAATGTGTGTTTTTTTTAGACAAAGAAAGAGAATGAGAGCAAAAGAAAAAGAGAAATGCCACTGAAAGAGAGGAGGAGGAGAAAGAGGAGGAAGGCTAATGGAGGGATGGAACAGCGGGAAAGATGGTGGTGGGCATTGCTACCTGCTCAACATGTGTCAGTGGATAACGACACACACACACACACACACACACACACACACACACACACACACGGACATACAAACACAGCTCCTCCCCCGCTGCAGACTAGTAGCATACAGTGAAGCCTGCTACTGCCATGGTAACCAATGAGAGCTGACCTCACAGGGCAGGTGTGTGTGTGTGTGTGTGTGTGTGTGTGTGTGTGTGTGTGTGTTGGGGTCTTTGTATGTTTCTGTATGTGTGTTATGGAGAGTATATTTTGTTTTGTGTGTGTGTGTGTGTGTGTGTGTGTGTGTGTGTGTGTGTGTGTGCATGTGTGTAGACAGTGTATTTTCTTCAACAGGTTTCTAACAATAATTGAGTCGCTAGTGAATAGAATGTGATGTGTTGACCAGACAACACACACGAGCACACACACAAGAGTTCATGGTTACTCACAAGAAAAAGCAGTGAGGTGAAGACGGTCATGTACAGCTTCTCTGCTTTCTCTGCTTGAAAACAACATTTTTATTGTGCCCAGTTTCTTACAGACAGGGGAGAGGAACCTACGGCACCTAAAGAAAGCAGCTGTTGAGTCAGCTCAAGTACTGCGCAAAAGTTTTAGGCACTTTAGATCTTTAGATTCTTATCTATTACAAAATTACATTATGGAGGCATCAGATAAGTCCCAGATTCACTCTGCAGCAATGACAACAACCACAAACATACAGCCAGAGTCATTAAGAACCATCTTCAGAGACAAGAAGAACAAGGAGTCCTGCAACAGATGGCCTGGTCCCCACAGAGACCTGATCTCAACAGTCTGGGATCACATGAAGAGACAGAAGACACTGAGACAGCATGGATCCAAAGGAACTGTGGCAGTTTCTCCAAGAAGCTGGAACAACCTACTTGCAAAGTACCTGGAGAACTGCAGCTGTCACAGCAAATATTGATTAGATTTTGGTTTTAACTGATAAATTAAAACTATTCATGGCACAGTAGTCTATATGGTCATTTTGGAGGTTGTAGTTTGTGTGATATTTTGTCCACATGAGGGCAAAATTGTAAACAAAACTCATAGGATAGGCCTAAGAATCTCAATATGATCAAAGGTTGATCTCACTGTGAATTGTTTACACACAGTACACATACATTTGTTTGGATGAATTAGATAAAGATCAGATAGTTGGTCTTGTTTAAGGAGTCCAAAACCCAAAGACATATTTAATTTTATTTTTTAAAAGACAAAGAAAAGCTGCAAATTGCTGAATTAGATTCTGCATTTCGCTTGAAAATGACTTAAAAGTGACCTGACGCGCCAGAAGGTTTGTTACACAAAGCATCTGGGAGGCTTCATTGTTTAAAAAAAAACTTGGCAGTTGATTGGATCCATCTGTCTATCATATGATGCGTTAGCAGAGGAAACACAACACAACAACAAGCCGCAGTCTGAGTGGCTTTGAAAGCTAGTTAGCATGTCGATGATTCTGTCTTTGTGAGGAAAATTTGTGCATAGAAGGAACTGATGAACACCAAAACAGACGCTTCTCCGCAGCTCCCCATAGCTCCTCCCTCGCAGGACTATGATTGGTCCGAACCACTGTGGTTCGGCCACAAGCTTCGAGCCTGAATATGGATTCTCATGCAAGAAATCCAGCTGTCTCGCAAAGTTGACTTAATAATAATTTGTTATGAAAATTGTTACCAATTCATTTTCTGTCAGACAACTAATAAGAGCACGACTGATAATGTATTTTTGGGTCCGATGCCAATACTGATATTAGGGAGTAAAAAAATTCTGATATTGATATATCGGCCAATATATATAAATATACACTTGTGAAAAAGATATGTAATGAAAGCAGGATCATGTACAGATTAACAATAAACTTTATTGTCCAAAATGACTTCAGTGCACAAATATATATATGTATATTAAACTTGAATGAAAACAAAGGATAAAATATACATAAAACACTGCCTAAATAACTTGACCCGACCTGAGCATTTCCACTGTATTATTGCTTCTTAATAAAAGTATTCATATCAGCACATATCGGAGAATATATGCACTGATACCAATATATCTGTGATAGGCCAATATCGGCTGATAAAATCAGTCGGGCTCTACAACTAGGGATAAATCTACTAATCATGTCAGCTCCAAACCAGATCAATCATGAAAGGCACCTGTCTGTAAAGCTGCATTAGAGGCAGAACACCTGGCTACCTGGCCAACATCAGCTCTCCTTATAGCTCTTG